TTCGGTCGATCTACCCTTTCCGATTCCCTTCGCTGGACAATCCTTCACAAGATGATCGGTACTATCACACTCATGGCACTGTAAGACCTGGCCGTCTCTACCTCGCGGGTTCCCCCGCCTACCGTTACCTTTGCCTGAGGTCTCCATGCGGCCTTTTCCCTTGCCTTTTCCATCGAAAAATATCTCATCATACTGATCATCTGAAAGCCTCTGGAGGAAAGCCGAGATGCCTCGTCCGTTCAACCTTCGGCGACCCCGTTTGCCTTTACCTTTTCCTTTGAAGCTCCTCCGTAGCCTCCTCCTAACACGCCGCACTGGTTTTCGTGTAAACCTCCTCCACCTACGCTTTGCTTGTTGTAATAACCAGAACAGGTGTTCGGCGCGCTGGCTGTCCCCTCCCATGCGCAAGATATCTGACCAATCTAGAGGTTCGATACCATATGATGATATAGTGTCGGTGTCGGTGCCGGAGTCGAAGTCGTCGTTACCTAAGTAGGTGGATATCCCATCATTTAAGGGATTCGCTTCACCCCATAGGGAACGGTGGGGTTGAGGCTCTCTAGGAGGAGGGCTGGTTGCCCAGCTCGGTTGTGATCGATCCCCTGCTAGTAGGGCAGTAGATTCTCCAGGATCGTCGGCCCATATGTTTGAGGGCCCGTTGCCAGGCTGAGCTTCAGTGGTTAAGGTAGTATAGAAGTTTCCACTGCCAGTTCACCTTCCCCTTCCAAACACTGATCCTACGTTGCCAGGAGACCGTTCTGACAAATGGCCTATAGAGCGCATCCTCTCACACAGTTCGTCATGCTGCTGTTGTGTTCGGGGCAGTTGGTGGTTGAGTGGCTGTGAGAGTTGCATGGCTCGCCGGCTGCCAACGCCTAGGGCGCGGAGCAGGATAGTCGTGAGCAGTTGGAAGTTGGGAAGGTCAAAACCCACCGACTGTGCCTCAAGACGGGCCATCTCGAACCGAGTAAGGGTTACATCGATTCGTTCTCCGTGGGGCACGTGGAAGTCTGTGAGCTGAGTGCCTGAAGTGAGCTGGCGCTCATCCTCCAAGCGTTCGAACTTCATGCTTAGGAAAGAACATAATATAGGTTGCTGGGTCGGTGTGGACACCATCGATGTCTGTACCATAGTTTATAATGTCAGGTGGTACCCCCATGGCGAGTGCCCTCGCAAGGCCACCCAGGCCGCGTTGTATGGCGGCTGCTCGGGCTTGTGGCGTCATGCGTCCGTGTGTGACGTTAAGCCACGCGTTGACCTCATAAACGCATCCGCGGAAAGGTACGTTGCCTTGAGGGTCCCAGTATGGGCCATGTGTTTGCCCATCTGTGCTATTGTCTCCTCGGCGCATGTGCCCGATTGCTGCCCCCAGCGCAAACCATATGATGGCGAAGATAACCAGCCCAAGGCTGTGAAGATATGGGTGGTTATCAGGCGCGCTGCCGCGCTGGGGTAGGGCTTGTAGCGCCTTGTCAAGTCTACGAGGCGCTTTATCTTGCGGGTCTCCCCGCCTATGCTTCAAGTACTGCGCTTTTGGCTCGTTGCCGAGCGGTTGGTAGTAGCGTAGTGATGAAGCGTATATGGTACCAATGTTGTTGTCTAGACGTCGTACCTCTCGTGCTGCTTCTTGCTCTTGAATTGATCCTCGTAAATGTAGTTGGAGCGGTGGCGCAGGGTGGAAGTTGGCCACGAAGATCGTGCCGGATAGCGTGAGGATAAGAAGAGCAAGAGCTGACCACGCGAGAGTGCGGCCAGCTCCGCTACCAAGTCTGAAATGACTCTGGCAGGTCAGATAGCATCCAATTCCATGTCGAAGGAATACGATATGGGGAGTGGATGGATAGGCTCGGATAAGATAGATGTAATGATCTTTCCAGCACATAGCGAACACTAAGGTAAGTGTCCGGGCAAATAGGGCGCGCGCGCGCGCCTTGAGCCAAAGGCAGCGGCGCGCAGGCTATACTCCCGATCCTCTATAACATCTCCCAAAGAGCTACCCTGAAAGTGGCTGTGTTCCGCCAACGCAGCGCGTCGCTCAGAAGAAGATATCAGCGGTTCAGCACCGCGTTGCAAGCGCGCCAGGTCTTGGTCCTTTTGCGCGATAGCGGGAGCTTGCTGCGAAATGCGCTGTTCGGCCTCACTCGCTATCCCGGCAGTTCTGTTCTCCGCTTCTTCCGCGCGTTGCTGGGCAGCCGCGGCCTGAGCGGACATCTGGGCTAACAGTTCTTGCTCTCGCCGACTGGCATCTTGGGCCATGGCGAGCCCATCGGCCTCAGCCTGTCGGGTGATAGCGGCCTTTTGAGCTTCAAACTCCGAAAACTTGTTCTGGGCGTCGGCAATAACTGCGTCCATCTTTTTCACGATCCAGTCGGGCCTGCTCGGCCTTCTGGGCCTCAACGGCCATGGCTTCTTGCTGCCTCTGGGCCTCTTGGGCCCTGGCTTGGTCCTGCATGGCCTGGATCAAAAGATAATGGCAGCTATGTTCTTCCATCTTGACGCAGTCGCGACAAAGCCAACTGACGCTGCATCTGGGACAAGCCTCTGAGCAGCCCGCAGACGGGGCGCTTGCAGGGCCCCCCCGTTTTGCGGGCCTTCCCCGGGCATCTGTTTTCAGCTCGAGGCGGGCACATTGGGCCCGGATCCCAGCAAGCATCACGCATGGAGTTCGTACTGACACTTCGCGACGACCCCAAGCCTGATCGAGCTGCAGACTTATGGATCCGAGGTCTGGCTCGACTCGAGGCTGGAGATCGCGCCTCTCTGGGTCGCGGGTAGCCGCTCTCTGGCGGCTTTGGCGTCTTGGCCGCTGTCTCGTCTTGCTCGTCTCGCTTAACCAACTGGCGAAATGACGCTATGGGGTCATCGGCGTCGTCCGCTTCCGCTGCCCCAGGGACCGTAGGCCGCCAGTCGGTTGAACCGACGACACGCCTGAAGAATCCCTCTTCAAGAGGACTGGGCTTCAAGTCGTCGTCCTCACTCTCGTGTTTCTTAGTCTGCGGAACTGGCGTGCGGCCTAAGGCTCCCCTAGCGCGCCCAGACGGCTGAAGAGACCTAAACGAGAGCTCCTCCGACTTGGTCGGGGCCCCGTCTGTCGGAAGTACTGGTGGGCTAACCTCAGGCGGGATCTCAGCTTGCCCCGGATTCGCGCCCGAGGGCTCTGAGGCACCTTCGACCGCGCCGACCGGGTCGGGGGCCGTCGGCCCTTGCCACGAGAGGGGAACATGATCTGACGAGGGCGGCTGTCCACCCTCTGGTTCCAATAAGGTATCTCCGAGGTCAGCGCGTTCTTGGTAATCGACTGTTTCTGCCTCGGATCGCTCGCCGTCTGGGACGGGGCAATCGATAAGGTCGTGGAGTGGGGGCTCTGGGTCAGCCCGACCTGGAGACGCATGGAAATCAGCAAGCTCGAAGTTGCCTTCATACGAGTTCGCCTCTTCTTCGTCTCCTAACTGCCCGTCACTGTCGTGACCGTCTTGCCCGCCCAAAGCAATCGGAACGATCTGAGCGCCCTGGGGCTCGTCCCAATCGTCTGGGACGATGGGAGTCTCCCCGGGTTGCTCGTCCTCGTCGTGGCCTCTACTGGCTGTGCCAGCGATCCTGGGGCCCCACTGGCCGGGCTGCGTGGGGCTGCGCCAGGATGCAAAGGCTTCGCGCCTGACAGCGCCGGCTTTGCCGGTCTGTCTCGCGGGGGTCTGGGCCCGATCCCCCAGCGGCGAACGTCCCGGGGCATCGTCGCGAAACAAATCAATCGCAGGAGCCTTGCCCCTCAGGATTCGCGGGCTCTCCGGCACTAAATGCGAGGAGCGCCAACTCGACAATGGCCTCCGTCTCGCAGCGCCGGCTTGGCCGGTCTGCCTCCCAGGTGTCTGACCCCTCTCCTCTAACTTCCTATTATCTGGGGAATCGTCGAAAGACAGATCTATCTGAGGAACATTCGAGAGGTTGAAAGGAGAAGGGCGGCCCTTCAGGCCGCGTCCTTTCCGAAATTGCTCAACATGTTCTGATTGTGATATGTCGAGCAAATCTACCGCCTGAGCCTGGCTCGTCGAACCTGAAACGACTTGGTCGTTGGTTTCGGCTGATAACCTGTCGTTCCTCTGGGAATCGTGGTTGAATGTAAAAGGAACGTGGGTCTCATGATCTTCAATAGTCAAACCTGGGGTTTCGCTATGTGCGGTCGTAGATCTATTCTGGGGAAGCTCAGGGAGAGAACTTTCGAGGGGCCATGGCTTTGGCAGCAACAAGTCCGTTAAGCAATATGTGAATACGTGCGCACGCGCCGAGCTGGCCGGCCGAAGGGCGAGGGGAGGCGCGCGCGCGGAGACCTTTTCTCCACTTGAGTTACAAAGATAGTTGCGGACAGTACTGATGCACGCATCATCGATGGCTCGGCGAGTATGTATGTATATATATATGTACTACAGTCAACCTAGTGAGGCGAAGCGGCGGCGGCAGCGGCAAAAGAGGGGATGCGGAGAGGAGCATACTAACTCTGCAGAGAGGAGAGCGCACGCCATGTACATGCCATCCCTCCCCCCCCTCGCCCCCGTCCCCCTCGTTCCCCTCCCTTTTCCGTCCGCCTCTCCTCCTCCTCCTCCTCCTCCTCCTCCTTCTTCCCTCCCTCTCTCCTCCTCTTCGCGCGCAGGCGGGCCGAGCCCGCACGAAATGGGGGTGGGCAACCCCCTGGTCGGCGGGGGCGGCCTCGCGGGGGCCGGCGGGGACGGCATGCACATTGCGGGCTACCCCATGCAGGGTGGTGGTGGTGGTGGTGGCGGTCACTGCGTAAGGGGAACAAGTCCCGAACAGAGCAACACGCACCACGACCTGCAGTACCGCTCAACGTTGTGCTGTTTGACCGAACCTGCACGGTGAGCCCTTTCCCAAATCCGTACTTCGGTGCGGATCGTTTGCGCGCGCGTAAGAGGGAGTGAATAATACGAGAAGGTAAAGGCAGGGAGGATGACCTCTTGGAGGCCCCCATTTCTGAAGATTCCCCTCAGCCTTGACGTAGCGCATGCACTCGTCGGGTGTGTGCGCCTCCGCGTAACAGCACATCTCCTTCGTTGCGCGCAAGGCCACGGGGGACTTGGCAGCGACTGTCCTTTGAGGGAGTGGAATGGCGGTGCTTCGCAGCACTGTTTCCTCAGCATTCCCAGCCTACATATCCCCGTGATCGTCGATGTAATAGCCACAAACGTCAACGAGCAGAAGCGCGGGAAACGCGGTGGCTCGTGCGTACGATCCCACTACAGCCAAGATCGCGGCCAACACATGACGAGCCCGAGAACGCTGAGCGAACTTTGCACAAACAAATCATTCGTGTGGGGGGGGGGGCGTCGGCATACCAGGCGCGCTCCTGGCAGGCGCTGCAGCTGCACGCGAAAGATTACACGCTAGACATCTGCCTCGTTCTGATCTTCCTCCTCCTCAGTTTTCCAAACCCCCACCCCCACGCAAGAGGCAGGGGTGTCGCTCCAGCCCCGCCACAGAATCTGGATGTTCACCGATGCTGACAATCCAATGCCATTTTTGAAGGTCGCTGATACTTGAAACATGTGTTGGGGTATTCTTTACGCTGGTATTCCTGAGACCTGGGAACTTGTAACCCCTGTGCCGGGTAGCCCTGGCATATATGCATTTACCCTGAGCCCTGGAATCTGCCTTATGTCGGAGGTGGGGGGGCGAGTCCGACGTGAAACGGAGACCCCCCCTACCAGGAAATCGATTTCGGTTTCGGGTTCGTGTCGTGCGTGCCGTGCGTGCGTGCGTGCGTACGGGCGAGACGAAGCTGCGTGGGCGGGCGAGTGGAAATCCTCCTGTGGCTGGGCCGCGGCCGGACCAAATGTTTCTCCTCCGGCGGCCGGTGGCCCGTGGTGTCCCGCCAGTGTCCCGCTGGTATCCCGAAATCCTCCTGTGGCTGGGCCGCGGCCGGACCAAATGTTTCTCCTCCAGCGGCCGGTGGCCCGCAGTGTCCCGCCGGTGTCCCGCCAGTGTCCCGCCGGTGTCCCGCCGGTGCCCCGTGGTGTCCCGTGGTGTCCCGTTGAGTGAGATCGATAATGAGACCGATAATGAGATCGATGTAGTGTCCCGAAATGTCCCGTGGTGTCCTGTGGTGTCCCGTGGTGTCCCGTTGAGTGAGATCGATAATGAGACCGATAGTGAGATCGAGAGATGTCCTGCGGTGTCCCGTGGTGTCCCGTGGTGGCCTGTGGTGTCCCGTGGTGTCCCGTTGAGTGAGATCGATAGTGAGATCGACAAGTGTCCCGTGGTGTCCCATGGTGTCCCGTGGAATGAGATCGATAATGAGATCGATTGAGTCGGATGTTGGTTCCCCCCCCTTTCTTCCTCCCCCCGCAACCTCCTTAACACCCGAAGGGTGGTCGTATAGGTATCCTGGTATCCTTACGCGCGTGAGCAATGGGATCACTTTTCCACTCCGGAATAAACTGGATCTAACACGCCAAGACTGTCCGAGCAAAGAGCGCCCCACCTCGGGGGATCCTGGTCACCTTTGAGCGATGAAATGCGTGTGCCGTCGTGCGGCTACCCCCTGCGACTGGATCTGACACCCCCAGAATCCACCAGAGATCGTCCCACAATCTCGCCCTCCGGGAAGCAGCCTTTGCCCGCCCCCCCCTTCGCCCCCGCCCTTCCGCCCTGGCGGAGCAGGGGGGGCGCCTGCACCCTGGGACACCCTGGGCCTCCCGAGCCCGCGGCACGGCAGGCGGGCACAAGCATGACATTGCGAGTGCCATAGCCGAGCCAGGGTGTCTCACGGGCGTCATGGTGCTTTCCGATGGACCAAAAATTTGGGGCCAACTCGGGGGAGTCCATCCTCGCTGGAGGTGCGTCCGATTAGCCCATTTTGGGGTGCACCCCGGAGGTTCCGCTCCTTTTCCAAGCGGCCTGTCCGTAGCCATTTTGTTTGGCCCAAGAGTTTTGGCTCAGGCCTGAGTTCAGGAAGTTGGGGTGCAGGCCTGCCTGCGACCCTCCTGCGCATGCCCGCCTGCTCTGAGACCACCGCCACTGCATTGCCGCCCGCTGCCGCCGAGGCCGCGTAGCACCTCCGGGCGCGCTTGCGCCGCGCGCAGGCCCAGCTCCTGCTGCACGCCTGGCTCTGACGGGCGAGCCCCCGGCTCGCCTCCCGCCTTGAGGACGCGCGGCGAAGAGCACTACGGTACGCGGGCGCCTGGCATCGAGGGGGTGGCAACGTCCGGCGCCGTCAAGAAGTGCGGTTTCGCGACGAACTGGGCGCGCAACCCGGCGCGCCACCAATGCGGCAACGGCGCGCCTTACAAGGTGCTCGCGCTACCGGGCTGCCCGCGACGATCGAACTGAACCCGCACTCGGCGGCAATGACGTCGACGGCGAGAACGAACGGGACAAGGCAGTCGCCTTGGCCCGCGACAAGCTCAAGAAGGCTCAGAACTCGCCGCTGGAGCTGCGCAACTTGGTGGCCGGGGACTACGACGCATGCATCGCGAAGCTCCAGGACGACCTCGCTGCTGCGCAAGTGGCGCGGCGGGCAGCCAATCCTCCCAACAAGCAGCTGAAGGTGGCGGAGGCCCACGAGACGCGCATGGCCAAAAAGCTTGTTGAAGCCAAGTCGGCTCTGCAGGCTTGGGAGGCTGAGCGCGAGGAGCTCAAAAAGAAGACTCAGTCGCAGCAGGCGGCAGCTTCCGAGGCCGAGGCCGCAGCGGCTAAGGCCACTGCGGAAGTCGCCGCGCTGGCGGCCCAGTGCGCCTCGGAGAGAGCGCCCGCCGCTGCTCCTGCGCCTGCCCCTGCCGAGCCGGCCGCCGCGCGGCCCCGTGGCGCGCGCGGAGGGCAAGTGGCGTGAGCGCGAGGGCCACTTTGAGCAGCAACTGGCGCACCTCCAGGCGTTGGTGGCCGCTGTCCGCCGAGGGCGCCTCTGCGGCCTCGGAGGGGGCCCCCAGCGTGGCCGACGACCTCGCATCTGTCGACGACTTGGCGGGCGACGATGGCAAATGGGATCAGGTCGGCCGCGCCGAGCGGAAGGGGCTCCTCCGCAGGGAGCGCGATGCCACGGCCAGGAAGATCTGGACGAGATTGGGCAAGGTGTCAACCGTCTCGTCGCACTGCAGCTGAGCTGCTCCTATTAACCCTGGACCGAGCGCTGGCTGCGTCTAGGACGAGCCCAGTGCTGGGGCCCCACGCGACGACTTGGATTTCGGCGCCGCTGTCGACGAGCAGGCTGCCTGGGCAGATGGCGCCCTGGGCCGTCTCCCCCCCCCTGGGCGCGGCGCTGAATGGTGAGTGAGATTTCGATGCGGCCGTCGCGGAGGCTGCCGCTGTCCTCGTGGCGCTGCCGGCAGGGGCCGGGGCTGCGGGCCCGGCGGGCGACCCGGCGCCTGTCTTCGACGCGTCCTTCACGGCTGACCAGCTGTCGATCTGCCGCCAGGCTGAACAGGTGACGGGCGTTGGGCCGCTGGCCCCAGCTTCTCGTCGGGACTCTCGCCCGCCGGCTGCCGCCCTCGACGACGCCGCGTTCGCCACCGCGGCCGAGGATATCCGCTCCCGTGCCTATGCGGGCAGCCACCCAGGGATCTACTGTGGGATGGCGCACGGGGTTCTGGGCTATCATCGCGATCGCGAGGGCGCTGTCAGCCGCCGCCTGCTGCTGCCGATGCCCCCGCGCCGCGCTCCTCCGAGGCGCGTGCGATCTCGCTGGCAGCGCCTCTTCAATGGCAGCCGCCGGCTGCTGGTGCCCCGCGCCGCCGGGCGCGGCGGCGCCGCGCTCCTGATGGTCGTCGCATTCGCCCTGCCCGTCGCACGCTGCTCTTGGCGATGACCAGCCGCAGCCCGATGCCCGGTGGCCATCGGGGGCGCGCACTTGCGGGCCTCCGGCGCGTGGACCATCGACGCGGCCTACACCGACTGCTGGGGCGCGTGCCTGGCCCAAATAACCCAGAATTCAGGAGGACAAGATCCACTGCGCGGGCGGCCAACGCGGCCGCGTGGAGATCGCAGCCGGGTGGAGATCGCAACCTCGGCCTCGCGCATTCCACTGCCTGCGACCGGGCTTCTGGTGGAGCGGGCGTACTCTGCCAGCGCCGTTTTGACATCCGCACGCTGCGTCGGCTTCGGATGGCATGCGCCAGCGCCTGCAGGCGGCCCATGTAGGTTCTGTTATGAGGGCGACGTCCTCTTGTGCAGCACCTGGTTGTTCCACGGCCAGGGCATCTCGGAGCCCAACCTGCACGTTCTCGCCGAAGCTGCTGCGCTGCTGGGCACTCGGTCTGGCACGGACTTGATCGCAGGCGACTTGAACATCGCGCCGCAGAAACTCACCCACAGTGGATGGCTCGACGTCGCGCGGGGCCGCACCATCCCTCCCCGCGTGCAACGGCTCCACTTGCGACTTCTTCGCCGTCAGCCGCAGCAGTGCGCGTGCAGTGCCAGGTATCAGCCAGATCGACGATGGCGGGTTTACCCCCCATTTCCCTACCAAGCTTAATCTGGCTGGCGATGCTCGCCGCAAGGCTGTCCGCCAACCGGTTTGCCCACGACGCGTCGACGGGTAGCTACCTCAGGGGCCGCTGCTGCCACCTGCCCCCGGCAAATGGGGCCCCTGCCCCATCGTGGACGCGACGCAGCTGGAGGCTGCCATCGACAGCTGGCCCCACGCGGATCGCGGCACGTTCGCCACCATGACCTGGGCACCGGCGCCGTGGCTTCGGCCATGCTCTCGCTGGAAAGCAGCTGCGGGACGGCCCGCTCCACGGCGCGCAGCCGCATCCTCGATCGCCGTGGCGTGGGGAACTTGGTCGGGTCGGGCATGCGAGACTGCTGCCATCCTCGGGCGGCTGCAGCCCGCCACCCACGACGCGCCCGTCCTCGCTCGCCGCGGGCCCCGAGCGCCGGCGGCAGCGCAGCGGGCTGCTCGCGCCCCCGGCATGTCGCTCGCAGCCCTCTGCGCCCGGGCTGCCGCTTTCGGCCGCGCTCGGCTGACCCGCTGGCTCTCCGCTCTGCCGTCTCTTGCTGCCATGGAGGCGCGGCGTGCCCAGCGGATCGAGGGTGCTGCCGGCGGCCTCGCGCCTTGCCGCGCACCGCGGCGCGCTGGCGGCGCCTGGCGGCG